AACAAACAAATTAAAATATGAATGAATTAAAACATTAATAATAAATTAATCTATAAATTTATTATTTAAATAAAACAAATAAATGAAAAATAAATAAATAAATAGAAGAATTTATTACTCATTAGAATAATTAATTAATGAAGAAAAGAATGTATTCATAAATAAACAGACAAATAAATTTCCGAATGAATAAATAATTTACTTAGTTTATTAATAATTATTACAATTAAAAATAATAAATAAATAAATAAATAAATAAATAAATAAATAAATATATAAATAAATAAATAAATAAATAAATAAATAAATTTAGATAAATAGATAAATAAATTATAAATGAATGAATAAAAGATTAAATAAACAAATAACAACTAATTGCAATGTCGACTTATTAATTCTTTGGCTTTTTAAATAAAAATTTATTGAATTATGCGTAAATTTCTGCATCTGAGAATAGCACTACTAAGTTTTCGTTATTTATTTCGAATTTCCTCTCTGCTGTTTTCCGAACTCGATGTAAATTTGTTGCGCGCATGCGCTCTGCCTGGTTATAGAGGCTGGTTACGAGATATAAAAATGTATTAATATTATACCTCACAAATTCGCAGACATAATCTATCAGGTAAAATATTTTTTTCTGGGCAACAATGAAAAATTCTTCAGACCTAAAATGTTTGCTGAATGTGGCAGATCTTGCATTCTTGGGTATTGCAGTTCAAATTGAATGCAGAAATTGCAGAACTAAATAAAGATGATGATATAGGAAAAAATTTCCGCTTCAATTATTTAAACAATAAATGCAGTAAAGTGTATTACATGGTTGTATTAATATACATAGTTGAACTTTTGTTATGTCAAACATTGGGTATCTCTAATACGGTACCATGGATATTATTTTTGAGCATTTTACCCTCAATATCTAATATCTCAGACCATTGTTTAGTTTTTTCTCAGTCCCTTTAAGTTTGAGATAAAGAGGTTTGACTGTACATTACATTGATGGAGGGCATTGAAAAAGTTTTGACCATTGCCATTTCTCAACACAGTCTTTAGTGGGTGTAAATGTAGTTCATTAACTACACAATATCTCTTAACCCATATCTATATGAATGTATGCCGCTTTATAAAAATCATTACTAACATTAAGTTTTTTTTTCAATAGAGAGAGGAAGAGGAGTTGAAACATGTGATACATTTTACAGAAGAATCTCAACAACAGATGGCTCTAGATATTTTGCGGGCTGTACACAATACAGGATGTACAATGGAAGCACGTGTAAGCTAAGTTCTGATTGTTAATACAGTAAAACATGTATATAATGCCAGGGATGGACGTGCTTGTTTTGTTATAAGCGTAGTTTGTCATATCCATCAAGTTAAGGATGCAAAAAAAAAAATTAACGGGGAATGAAAATGATGTCACTGTAAGCATTAGTTCATTATAAATGTGTTCACTGTAACCAAGTAACTGTATACTGTAGTCATATCAATGCAATATTTTAGGCACTACATATTAATATATGTATTAAGGGTTTCTTCATATGAGATTAAATGAAGAAAATGGTTTGAAAGATTTGTTTGTAGGAGGTAGCTTTCTCTTCTCGAGTCCTTTTTATACCCCACGCAACTAGTTGCGGGAGGTATAATGTTTTTGACTGGTCCGTCAGTCAGTCAGTCCGTCAGTCAGTCAGTCAGTCAGTCAGTCAGTCCTCTTTTATTGTCAGCGCAACTCCTCATAAACCGCTGCACAGAATTTCGTCAAACTTTGCAGGTATTTAGGACACAATGTGTAGATGTGCATATTACCAGGAAATTCCGATTCCTTTATTTTTTCCGGGAATTTCCGCACTTTTAACTTAGGCATTTGGCCATACCTTGAATATAGAGATGAACAGTTTGTCAGCACAACTCCTCATAAACCGCTGCACAGAATTTCGTCAAACTTTGCAGGTATTTAGAACACAATGTGTAGATATGCATATTACCAGGAAATTCCGATTCCATTATTTTTTCCGGGAATTTCCGCACTTTTAACTTAGGCATTTGGCCATACCTTGAATATAGAGATGAACAGTTTGTCAGCGCAACTCCTCATAAACCGCTGCACAGAATTTCGTCAAACTTTGCAGGTATTTAGGACACAATGTGTAGATATGCATATTACCAGGAAATTCCGATTCCATTATTTTTTCCGGGAATTTCCGCACTTTTAACTTAGGCATTTGGCCATACCTTGAATATAGAGATGAACAGTTTGTCAGCGCAACTCCTCATAAACCGCTGCACAGAATTTCGTCAAACTTTGCAGGTATTTAGGACACTATGTGTAGATGTGCATATTACCAGGAAATTCCGATTCCTGTATTTTTTCCGGGAATTTCTGCACTTTTAACTTAGGCATTTGGCCATACCTTGAATATAGAGATGAACAGTTTGTCAGCGCAACTCTTCATAAACCGCTGCACAGAATTTCGTCAGACTTTGCAGGTATTTAGGACACAATGTGTAGATGTGCATATTACCAGGAAATTCCGATTCCATTATTTTTTCCGGGAATTTCCGCACTTTTAACTTAGGCATTTGGCCATACCTTGAATATAGAGATGAACAGTTTGTCAGCGCAACTCCTCATAAACCGCTGCACAGAATTTCGTCAAACTTTGCACATATTTAGGACACAATGTGTAGATGTGCATATTACCAGGAAATTCCGATTCCTTTATTTTTTCCGGGAATGTCCGCACTTTTAACTTAGGCATTTGGCCATACCTTGAATATAGAGATCAACAGTTTGTCAGCGCATCTCCTCATAAACCGCTGCACAGAATTTCGTCAAACTTTGCAGGTATTTAGAACACAATGTGTAGATATGCATATTACCAGGAAATTCCGATTCCATTATTTTTTCTGGGAATTTCCGCACTTTTAACTTAGGCATTTGGCCATACCTTGAATATAGAGATGAACAGTTTGTCAGTGCAACTCCTCATAAACTGCTGCATAGCATTTCGTTAAACTTTGCAGATATTTAGGACACAATATGTAGATGTGCATATTACCAGGAAATTTCGATTCCTTTATTTTTCTGGGAATTTCCACACTTTCCAACTTAGACTTTTTGGCCATATTTTAAATATAGAGATGAACAGTTTGTCAGCACCACTCCTCTTAAACTGTTGTACATAGTTTCGTCAACCTATGCTGATATTTAGAACATATTCCATTATTTTATCCCAAAGAGTTTTGACTATTATTCAAGAAAATTTCTCACCCCCCCCCCCCCCACTTCAAATTAATGTGTGGATTTGTATAGTCAAGAAATTTTTATTCCATTATTTATCTAGAAACTTCATTCCACATTTAAATGTCCTCATATGCAAGACATTTTGATGAGAAGATTTTTTGCAATTATTGCCCTTTTTCATCTATACTATGTATTTAAAGTGCACTGTGCCTTTCATTATGTGTTTCACCGTCAAGTTATGGGGGAGCGTGGGGTATGTGAGCTAGCTCACTTTTTCTTTCATTCATAATGATTTTTTGAAAGAAATTCTTGATTTAGAGCTGTACAGTTCACAAGTGTTCAGTATTTTTTACCCCTGGATATAATCATCTACATTTGATTATCAAATGATCAGATAATGAAAATATTCTCTCCACTGACATGTTTACTCCCAAGTTAAATCACCAATTTTTATCCTCTGAAATCTTGACCTTGAAGTTGAACCTGCCTTTGAAAAACTTTAATTTTGGCCGTAATAGTTGGTGCTAGGGCTTTTATATTTCACTGGTTTATTCCTTGTGACAAGGCTTTTCTTTATAAACCAATATTTTTCAATCACTTGACCCCAGGCAGCTGCGGGTCATTGGATAAACTTTAACCTTCACAGCGAGTTACCTCCAGGAGCATCAGTATTTCACAAATGGGTGTAATTTCTTTCAGTCTATTGCTAGTTGTGTGAAAAATGAAGCTTCTAGATATTCCAAAAAATCATCAAATAAAGACAAAGGAAAGAAAAAGAAGGAAAAAAAGATGAAAGTGACGGGGACAAGGCATGCATTTAAACTGGTGACAGAACCTCTCATGTTTGGGAAGGCAGTAGCCATGATATTTGACCATATTGATCCATATATAACATCACACTTTCTTGTGGTGAGTTTGTTATTGCTGAATTGACATAGTATAAAAGTGTGCTCAAAATTCTCTTGTTTATCTTTTTTTCCCATAAATACTGTGAAGTCACAAATTTTCGTGGAGGTTTAATTTTCATTGTTTTCAAGGTATGAAGAGACCCACGAATTCAAATCCCCACAAACTAATGCCCTGTTCACACGGAGAGTTTAATTTGAATTAAACGTAAAGTTACTGCGAATTAGCTTCGCTTAGCGTTCACACGGAGAATTTAATGCGAATTAGTTTAATTCGAATTAGTTTACTGCGCATTAAATTACTTCGCATTAGCTCCGTCTGAACGCTAAGCGAAGCTAATTCGAATTAAATTTTGACGCATGCGTAAGGCCAGAATTAAGTCACAGGACACATGTTGGTGTTTATATATAGGTATTTGTGCTATATTTGGTTCAAAAATTGAGGGAAAGTATGTTAATCACGAAAATGATTGAATACCTGTAGCCACTACATGATGTATCAAAGGATGGCTCTGCATACATGACGTGTTTACAAATGACGTCATAATAGACTTACTGACGCCTGACTGTAGAAGAAAATTTTTAATTCGCATAAGTTTACTTCACATTAGCTGTCGTGTGAACGCAATTTAATTCGCATAAATTTGATTCGCATTAGTTTACTTCGCATTAATTTACTGCGAATTAAACTCGTCGTGTGAACAGGGCATAAGAGATTTTAATCAAACCTCGAAAATTTTACCCCACGAAAATGTGTGATTTTACAGTAGTGTATAAGCAGAAATTTTAACCAGGATTCAATTTTGGCAAATATTATTGCAATTGTTATTTTCTTCTCATCACCTAGGATAGCTCCTCTATGCATAAAAATTTTTTGAGATAAATTATAAAAGTAATCTTTGAAACAGATGAATAATTACTTTCATGGGTATAATGTACCTTTTTTACTGCTTCAGATAGCAAACTGTTCTTCAGCTGAGAAGTTTTTGGAAATGAAGATCTATTACAAAGGGAAATGGTCTCGAGAATTCATACACTACAATGAAAGTCAAGAGAACCCTTACAATATACGGCCATGTCAGTTGTATCAGGGATACAGAATCAACAATGCAGACATCATTCACTTCTATTGTTCACACAGGTAAGGGAACATATTTTTCATTTAGGAAGTTTTCAGTTGAACTTTGATATCTCGAATATCAATATCTCAAACATATAAACTTAAGCAAAAATCTTATGATTTACTGCTTTAAAATATTCATTTCATTTAAAAGCATTGAATTTTGGAGAAAAGATAAACCAGCCTCTGCACTGATTAAGTTCCCATGATCTATTACACATTATAATTTTAGGTTAATTGAAATATATGATCAAGATGGTTCAATGATTGAAACTGTACATCAAAATGATACCATTGGACATGGAGTTCTACTACAAAGGAGCATTTACAAGAAACAAGTTTACCCACTGATAATAAAAGACCAACTTATAGCTATCAGCCAGGAGAAAAGGTAAAAATCAGAATTGTTTATGAACTCCTCTAATAGCAGGAAAGTCAATTCACACTGGATTTGAGGGAAGGGGGGGGGTTGATATATAGGCATCACCATGTCCTATTTGTTTGTCATGCTAGGCTATAACTGTGTAATGTAAAAGCATTTGAAGCTCATACTTTAAACTATATTGTTTATCAATTGAGTTTTGCCATAATCTTGACCTTTAAGGCCATTCTGGCAAGTTCAAGGCCATTGATAGAAAAAAAAATATAATGAATGTCTGGTGTTCCTGCATCCTATAATGGAGGAACATTTGAAGTTCATATCTCATACAAAGATTGCATATGACGTACTGTATACAGGCTTATTTTCACCCCATGTTATTTTCGCCCTTTCACATTTGAAACAAGTTTGCCTCGTTTTAAATATGCCCAGAAAGATTTTTGTTTTAGATATTATACTGTTTACTTTGAATTCGCCCGGTTTTAAATTCACCCACTTTCGACAAGGAGCGAAAGGGGCAAATTTAAAACAGGGGCGAAAATTTCCCTTTATGCAGTAATTGTTTATATTTATCTTGACCCAAGATCAATTCAGCAAGTTCAAGGTCCTTAAAACATTTATCATTTTAATGATAGAACATTCTATCTAGGAGAGGGCTACAACTCATATGATTTGCTTAGCATGATACTGATGATTATTTTATGTATGCACTTTATAGAATTTATTTGACCTTGCAGACTGTGGTGCTGGAGGGATGGAGAAGAATTCTACAGTCCTGACATAAAGGAGGCCACCTCAGTAGCAGCCTTTGGGGACATTTTTATTGTTCTAATGGACAAGAAGACTCAGTTTGTGGCAGCTCATCAGCTCCGAATTCTCAACATTAATATCACAAAATCCTGTCAAAGGTAAATACAATATTGCTTATGCCTTTAGGTTATGATCCCTTTGTCAAAGTTCAGTGTGGATTTTCAAGACATTATACACTTTTTGACATTTAGAAAGATACAAAGTTTAGTTGTTGAAGATTTTACTCAAGACAAATAAAAATGTCAAATGTATAGTTGACTTGTAATGTTTTTTAGGGTTTTTTTTATTCCAATTCTTTCTGCAAACAAAGTTTAGGGCTGTATTTAGGAATCACTTTGTCCATCTGTCTGTCTTGCTTCCATGTGTCCTTGCAATCTTCTCTGAGGGCTATAAATTTGTATTAATGGAGAATTATTGGAAGTTCAAACAAGGGGTTTTCTTAACCCGAGAGTACAAACTTTAAAAAAAAATGTGACAGGATATCATTTTATTTACTCACAGTACCTCTAGTTACTGTAAACCAACTTTTATTAGCATGCGAAAATTTTCGTGAAGTTCGCGAGAGCCTCGTCATCATGAATATTTCTTGCCGCGAACCGGTCATTATAGTCTATGTGTCTATGAACAAGAGAACCTAAATAGGCGTTATCGCGAAAATTAATCGTCGCGAACTAGTTTACCCCTGGTTAATCGCGGAATAAAGTCGTCGCGAATAAAAGTTGGTTTACAGTATATACTGTAGACCAGGATATTTTTGCCCCCATTTTATTTTCACCCTTTTCACCCCCATATTTATTTGGGTGAATTTAAAACGGGGCAAATTCAAAGAATACAATATAATTTCTTAAACAAAACTATGACTGGGCGAAATTAAAACAGGGCTAAATTGTTTGCAAGTATGAAAGGGCGAAAATAACAAGGGGCGAAAATAACCTGGTATACAGTATTCTTGTAACAATGTTCAGATCTTTTATATTTTTGTAGTGACTTGAAGCTGAAGATAGGAGAAAGCAGACAGGAGATAGAGCAGAGCTTTAAAACTGTCCAGGTGTTATCTACACAGACAGTCACCAGGGACGGTGGCACTTACCTGTGGTGTATAGCAGCCTTAGACAGAACCTTAGTGTGTCTGGAAGTACCCTCTGATATCTCAAAGTAGGCAGCTTATGAAATTTGTTTCAATCTTTTGAAATATTATATTGATCTACATTTTGTATTTTTTTGTTCTAATTACTAATTAAACAGCATCACCACCACTGGAGCAGAAACACCCTTCAAAATTTCATTGAAGACAAAAATATTCCTTAACTAATTTTTATCTTTGCTAGGTGCACAGAGGTCACTGTTTTCCTGACCTTGACCCTGGCAGGTTATCCAGTGGAGGCCTACTTCATCAGTACGTCGGGTCAGTACTCTGTTATGGTCCATTTCCTTTGCATCTCATTAGTCCTGAGCTTGGTACTACAATTACTATCACAACATTGCTCATATAAAATGCTCATGTAAATGGATTGATTAATCCAATGAACAAGTAAAATTTTGACCTCATCCAGATTTCACTTGCTAATGACACTATGACATTCCTGATGTCTTAAGTCCGAACTAAACACTTGAGAGTCTTATAGTACTTTTGGATAGAACATAGTACAAGGAATTGAACCATGTGCTTTTCAGAACAACTGAACCGGGATATCTGTTTAGTGTGGAATTTATATATCAAAAACAAGTTTGAAATTTTAAAAGGTGAATTGTTCTTCAAATGAAATGTTGACATCATATTAGTTACATTATCTTATAGTGGGATTTCTCGTGACCTTCACCCAGCACAATGCCCAGTCTGAGGCCTATATAGAACACCTCTGTCACTACAGCTTTGATGGTAGACTCCTGGGGGTACTCCCATGTCTGGGCCCCGGACCCAGATCCTTCTGCCACGCCCACCTCCCAGGAGACCCTGAGGGAGGGAGTGGAGGACTGTACCTGTACATGAGGGATGGTCACAATGGAATTATGGGAATTCAGTTGAATGACTATTATCCACATTTACTTTCATAGATATACTAGTCCTGGAATCTGTTTCTGACAAAGTTTCTGACTTTTGCAAACATCATCATTTTAGAAGTCTCTGATGAGACTGTAAATCAACTGGTTAAACTTATAATGAAGGAAGAGAAGTGGAACTTTTGAACTTGAAACTTGCAACAGTAATAAATTTTAAAAATGATCACTGGTTTAGTCTTTTTCTTGGCAAGATTTATTAAAATAAGACTAAAACTGTAGGAAAACTGATATACTGAATTATGTACCCCCGTATCTTGGTGTATTCTACTTGTGGGCCAAGTTATAATGAAATCTAACCAAAACTGTAGGAGGAGTAGCATTTTGAAAAAAATGTTTACAGACAGACAGCTGAGAAGGAAGGATGGCGGAAACTTTACTATCGCATGAAATTCTCATGTAATCTCAAGTCTGTATCCAACAATTTCAAAACTACCAACAGCAAAGAGTCCACAATTAGTTCAGGGAATAAAATAATTACTAAAAATATTTTTGCCAATTCTGGTCAGAAGGAAAATAAAAGTTCTATAATTGTAATTGAATTATTCAGATTACCCTATTTTCTAAGCAGATTAAAAGAATAAATTAGAAGATCTTAAATCTATGGCAAGCCCTTTTACTATTTATTTGTGAAATAAAATTTTCCTCACCATAAGAGAGATATCTCTCTAGCATATAGCGATATCTCTTTAGCTTATAGAGATATCTCTTTGACTAAAAGAGGTATCTAAACCTTATAGAGATATCTCTTTAAACAAAAGAGATATCTCTTTTTGTGAGAGAGGTATCTCTTTTACTTAGAGAGATATCTCTTTAAGCTAGAGAGATATCTCTTTAAGCGAGAGAGATATCTCTTAACGTTAGATAGATATCTCTTTAACAAGATTAAAAGAGATATCTTTCTTAGTTAGAGATATATCTCATTAAGTTTTCAAATAGAGATATCGTTATAAGCTAAAGAGATATCTCTTTTAATGAAAGAGGTATTTCTTTTCCAGTGATGCTTAAAAAAAATAATTAATTCTCCACTTTAAAGCAAAAGTGAAGCAGGAAGTAAAGTCTCTGGAATAGTTTCGATGTTATAAGAAAAAAGACTGAGCAATTAGCAATTACCCAGAATAATACATGTACTGTAGACAAAAATGCTATAAATCCTTTGCTTGAAACAACAAATTATAATGGTAACTTCGTTGATAAAAATGCTAAAAGTTTAATATTCAGAAAAACGAAAATATAAGCATATGTATAATCTCAAATGCAATGGACCGAATTTTCTCAGCTTATGAAATAATCAACTATTCCTAATTTGAGTAGTTCCGCCAATAAAAAGCTTACTTACGGTAAGGGAGAAGTCATTTGAAATGTAATTTAAATTTTAAAAAAATATGAAGAGAGATATCTCTTTTAGACACTTTTGAAAGATATCTCTTTCACTTTAAGAGATATCTCTTAAGAATAACTGAGAAAGATAGCTCTTTAACTTGGAAAGATATCTCCAAATTTTTTTAAAGTAAAAGAGATATCTCTTTAACGTTGAGAGATATCTCTTTTCACGAAAGAGATATTTCTTTTCACGAAAGAGATATCTCTAAAGGAGAAAGAGATATCTTTTTAAGTAGAAGATATATCTCTCTAATAAAAAGAGATATATCTCTAAGTATAAAAGATATCTCTCTAAGTTTTAAGAGATATCTTTTTCTCACGGAGAAATCTTTTAAAAACGAGAGATATCTCTTTATGTTGAGAGGTATCTCTATTTTTTAAGAGATATCTCCCTAAAATGAGAGATATCTCTGTAATTTTAAGATAAATTTTATTTTCGAATAAATAATAAAAGGGCTTGCCATACAAATTCGTTAAGGGGTCTTCATATCAATATAAACTAAAACAAGATGCCAAGGGCCTTGAATAGCTTTTCTGATCAATTGTACAATCTCTCGCTTCTATTTGAAGCTTTTATGTATCCCTGAATAGCAAAAGTAAGTCATACTGACCTATATTTTGGTTAAGCATTGAGAGCCCAGGATATTTAACTGACAAAGTGTGATGATTCGAAGCCCTTTATCATCCGAAATATAAAGATAAAGAACATTTCAAAAGAAGTTCAACATGACCTACTTTTTGGTTGATATTATCAAAGAACCCAAGATGCATCAATCGACAATTAGTTTGATGATTCTAAGCCAATAATTACCTGAGATACCGGTATTTAAATATAGCAACGAAATTATAAAAGTAGGTCACCGTTACCTACTTTTTGGTCGACGTTCTCCAAGACCTATATGTAAGATGCATCAATTGACAAAGTTTTATGATTCTATGCCAATAAGGACCAGAGATACTTAAGCCATAATATTTCAAAAGAAGGTCACTGTGACCTACATTTTGGTTGACATTGTCCAAAAACCTAAGATGAATCAACTTACAAAGATTGTTTGAAGAATCTAAACCAATAAGTACCCTAGATACTTAAATATAGCCATAAAATGTCAAAAAAGGTCGCTTTGACCTACTTTCTGGTCAGTATTCTCCGAAGAACCAAGATGCATCAAGCCATCAACTGACAAACTTTGATGATCGTCACTGTGACCTATTTTTTGACAAAAAATTATTCAAGCTCCAAGCATCAACTTAAAGGTTTAGTGATTTTAAACATGTTAGTATCTGAAATAATTGCCTTAAATGTTGTAGAAGATATAAGCCATAAAAACATAGACTGTGACCTATTTTTAAGTTGACGTTGTTTGAAGACCCAAAATGCACCTACTGACAAAGTTTGATGATCAAAGGCCTTAAAATGTCCAAAATATGCCTTCAAATCTTATCACTTCGAGACAGAATTTAAAAAGTTGGTCACCATGGCATATTTTTGAATTAACATGATATGAAGTCCTAAGAAGCATCAACTTACAAGATTTTATGATTCTAGTCTTTATAGTAAGCAAATTATCAACATTTTTATAAAGAAATTTTTTTCAACTTTGAAGTGACCTTAAGACCATACACTTTGCCCCAAGGTAATTTCCCGTGCAAATTTTAATCTATAGCATATCCTCATCCTTGTATGTAAGTTTTGTGATAATCTGCCCAGTGGTTCTAGAGAAGAAGATTTTTCAGCAACCAATACTTTTGGTTTTATTTTCCTGATTATCCCCCTTGTTTAAGGGTCCCAACCCTAGTTTTAGTTTAAATGGTAGCCCTTGAGCCAAGGATACCATGTGACTTTGACAAGGATTGAGCAAGAGGGTTCTTGAGTTATGGCCCATGTTCTAAAATGTTTACGCACACCGCACAAATGGCCATAGTATTAGCTCATTATAAGGCACGCCAAATTCACAAAAATGTGCTAAACATAGTTTTACAGTTTATAAACTAGGTTTATCGACTGTAAACTATAGTTTACAAACCATGAACTATAGTTACCAGTTTGTTAACTATAGTTTTTATCTGCAAAACTAAATTTAATGGCTGTTAACAATAGTTTACGGATGCTAATCTACGTTAACAATAGATTTTGTTGATAAACGTATATCCACGTCTGTAAACTATAATTTACAATCGTGAACTATAGTTAAAAGTTGTTAATCATAGTTTCACAAAACGTAAAACTATATTTATCAGATTGTTAACTATAGTTAAGAGTTGTAAACCATAGTTTACAAATTGTGAAACTGTATTTATCAGATAATCTGTGTTTTGCATACGCAAATGATTGTTTTCAGAGTTAAGTATAGTTTACGGTTCTTAAACATGGATTATCGCGTTAACTATGGTTTACAGATGTAAATATGGCACGCCAAATTCACAAAAATTAGATAAACATAGTTTCACAGTCGATAAACTAGGTTTATCGGTTGTAAACTATAGTTTACGGACTGTAAACTATAGTTAACAACGTTAATCTATATTTTACATCTGTAAACTGTAGTTAACGCGATAATCTATGTTTCACAACTGTAAACTTTACTTAACACCGAAACCTATCATTTGCAATTGCAAAAAATATAGATTATCTGATAAATACAGTTTCACGATTTGTAAACTATAGTTTACAAACCATTAACTATAGTTAACGATCTGATAAATATAGTTTCACGATTTGTGAAACTATGATTAACAACTCTTAACTATAGTTTACGATTGTAAACTATAGTTTACAAACGTGAATCTATGTTTATCAACAAAATCTATTGTTAACGCTTATTACAGACACATAAACTTAGATTATCAGTCGTAAACTATAGTTAACAACCGTTAAATATAGTTTTACAGATGAAAACTATACTTAACGAATCGTTAACTATAGTTTACAGTCGATAAACCTAGTTTATCAAATGTGAAACTAGGTTTATCTCATTTTTTTGAATTTGGCGTGCCATATTTTACAGATGAAAGCTATACTTAACGAATCGTTAACTATAGTTTACGGTTTGTAAACTATAGTTTACAGTCGATAAACCTAGTTTATCAATTGTGAAACTAGGTTTAGCTCATTTTTGTGAATTTGGCGTGCCATATGTAAAATATAGATTAACGTTGTTAACTATATTTTACAGTCTTTAAACTATAGTTTACAACCGATAAACCTATAGTTTATCGACTATGAAACTATGTTTAGCTCATTTCTGTGAAATTGGCGTGCCATATCTTTGAGCCTTCGGCTCAGAAGAGCTAAATATGTTTATAATATTATTTCAACAGATCAAATGACAAATGCAGATATCTTTGAGTTCGCAAATATGCTGCTCCCGAGGTTGATGAGGTTCCAATGATAAAAAAAGGTATGCTTGTGAACGACTGATGTCCCCGTATGGCAGCCTATGGTGATCGAGTTTGAATGTTCGCAATTGCGTGTCAAACTTCGGAGGTCAGTGCATGTTAAAAGGTCAAAAGTGCTGGTAACCAAAGGAAGATCTTGATGTACAAGGGATACACTTGCGAAATATGAAAACCCTAGTTCCAATTGTTCAAAAGTTGTGGCCAAGATTAAAGTATTTTAAAAAGTAAGCCAAACTCTAAGGTCAAGGTAAAAAATATTTATACCCAGGTCATAAGAAGCACAGATGTGAGATATGAAAGCCCTAGAACTAACTGTTCAAAAGCTATGGCCAAGGTTAAACTAAGTGTGGCACATGTATTTCTATTTTTGTAAAAGTACGTGAAACTCCA